TGTGGGCTTGTTCTCTGTGTGCCTGGGTGGTGGTCTTAGAGCTTGTCTGAACGTTGAGAAAGATGCCGTTATCAACATTATGATATCAAGAACAGAAAGTCGGAAACTGGTGATACAGAAATGATAGCTAGGTCAAAAAGAAAATCGAAGGATCTGAAAGAAAATGGTATGAGGGGAGAAAAGAGAGATGCTGAGCTTATTGCCATTAAACCCAGGGGAAGACAGTTAGTATCATGCGCCTTAGACTGGGCCGTGCTACAAGGCAGTTAGTCTTGGTGTCTGTGTACTGCTTTGCAAGAAAAGTCTCAGAAGATTAAAACTGTCAGGTAACAGGTGACAAAAAGTTTTTTAAATAGTCAGACACATCCAAACCAGATGTCTTCTGTTTCACATCACCCACCTCCATGTGTACCCAGCACTGCTTCCGGATGTAGAGGCGGAAGAACTTCTGACGTGCTCCGGCTAAATGCCACTTGTTCTTTCTGTGTCTGAGTGGTAGAGGTTGGGGCTTGTGCAGAAGTTGAGAAAGGACACTGATGCATGTCAGGATGAGAAGAAATAAACTTAACAGATTGGGGAAAATCACGTGGCAGACATCAAGAATAGAGAAAGCTGGAACACAAGCGAAATGGAGAGAATAGCTGGTCAAAGAGGAGAAATAAGAGAATCCAAAAGAAATGACATGAAGAAGGACAAGAGAAACACATAGCTTAGCACCACTGACCTACGAGCAGGGCCCTGCGTAACCTGTCACCTCAGGCCACGTCCTCTTACCAGTGTCCCAGGGCACCACTGTTACAATCAGTGTTCATACCGGGTTCGCACTCCGGTATCAGGGGACAGAAACCTAACCGATTCCCTGTGGGATTTTACAAAAGAAGAACTTCTTATTTTTTCTTTTTTTGGCTCATCAGCATGTCAAAAACTCCTTAATTGAGGTCTTTTCTCATCTTTCCTTCTCCCGCTTTTATTCCTCAACTCAATAAATTCTTTTTTTTTCCCTTTATGGCTTCATGTTTTTCCACTGTACAGATGTTCTACAAATTTTTTAAACCTTCTGTATTGAAGTCTAATTGATTTACAATGTTGTGTTAGTTTCTGGTGCACAGCAAAGTGATTCAGTCACATATATATGTCTTTTCTCATATTCTTTCCTATTATGGTTTATTACATGATATTGAATACAGTTCCCTGTGCTATACGGTAGGACCTTGTTGTTTATCTCTTTCATATGTAGTAATTTGCATCTGCTAATCCCAAACTCCTAAACTGATCCCTCCCCACCACTTTCCTCTCTTACAATGGTAAGTTTGTTTTCTGTGTCTGTGAATCTGTTTCTGTTTTGTAAATAAGTTCATTGGTATCATTTTTTAGATTCCCGATATAAGTCGTATCACATGGTATTTGTCTTTCTTTCTCTGACTTACTCCACTTCGTATGGTAGACTCTAGGTCCATCCATGTTGCTGCAAATGGCATGAGATAAATTCTTGGTTGATATTCTTCTTCAACAAGTTCTCCCAGTTGCTTTGAGCAAATATCCTACGAGCTTCAGGCCCTACAGCAGAAGCATCTGCTTAGGCTTCATCAAAAGTCCCTCATAGAGTCTTACTGACCCGACTTGGGCCACATGCCATCCACAAGCAAGGCAGTGCTCCTAGAGCAAATGTACTTTGAATTGGTCCTACCTGGGTCACGTGTCTGTCCGTTCAGCTCAGTATGTACAGCTCACTCTGCATAGCCAGACATACCAGTTTGATAATGGTGCACTTGGCCCAATCTACTGCCTTCCCCTACTGCCTTTCTCACGGTGACTTCTCATCTTGGAGTAAAAGCCAAAAGGCCAGGTCCCATGTCAATCCATGCTCCATCTCACTCCCTGTGTCCCTGCCATCCTGACTTCTTTAACATTATTTCCTTACTCTAGGCAGTTTCCACTTGAAGGCTTTCATTCATTTTTGTTTCTTTACTTCCTGAATGATCCTCCCCACATATGGACATGGCTCTTTCTCTCACATCCTTAGAGTCATCGCCAGGCTTCCTCTCATCCACTTACTTGAAATTCAAGATCTCTCTGGGCACATCTTAGCTTCCTTCTTGGCTTTATTTTCCCCAGAGCACTTTTCACAATCTAAGAAATTGTATGTTTTATTGATTTATTTGATTCACTCTCTGTGCCATATCACCCCTACTAAAATGTGAGATTTTTGCAGGCAAGCAATTACTAGGTCAGTAGTATATTCACAGTAGAGTTTTAGTGAACTATTTATTGAATAAATCAATAAATCTGCATGTGAATGAATATAAAACTTTGAAGAACTTTGGGTAAGGTTTAGCTAAAGGGGAAATTGAGTGGGTTGAGTACCATGAATACAGTGTCCTCTATTACATAATTTTCCTCTTTCTATTAGGAACTGCTTATAAACTCTATTCTAGTTGATACCACTATGAATGTCTTTTCATTCATCACCAAGAAAACCACATGTAAGCTGTCTATCATTTCACTCATCATATAGTCTGAATTCCTAACTTCTCAGGCTTAAAACATGGGAAAAGTGATAACACTTTTCTTAAAAATGGTTACTGACATGATTACGTGAACTGACGCACGTGGAGGTGATTAACACAGCAAAAGCACACCAGAAACGCTTATGGTGATAGATATTTATAAGCACTGTTTATATTTACAGTTTTAAAAAGCATTTGCTATAAGTAGGCTGATCAAAGATATCTACGTACAAAAGTAATATGTTTGTTTTGCTTCCCTTGCCTTAGGGTATCATGAACATCGACGCGTATTTTGAAAGAATTGGTTACAAGAACCCTAGGAACAAATTGGACTTGGAAACATTAACTGACATTCTTCAGCACCAGCTTCAAGCCATTCCCTTTGAGAACCTTAACATCCATTGCGGGGAAGCCATGGAATTGGATTTGGAGGCCATTTTTGATCAAATTGTGAGGAGGAAAAGGGGGGGCTGGTGCCTCCAGGTCAATCATCTTCTGTACTGGGCTCTTACCACAGTCGGCTTTGAGACCACAATGTTAGGAGGGTATGTTTACAACGGTATAGCCAACAAATACAGCAAGGCCATGATTCATCTGCTGCTGAAGGTGACCATCGATGGCAGGAACTACATAGCTGATGCTGGGTTTGGACGCTCTTACCAGATGTGGCAGCCTCTAGAGTTAATTTCTGGAAAGGATCAGCCTCAGGTGCCTTGTATCTTCCGCTTGACAGAAGAAGGAGGAATCTGGTACCTGGACCAAATCAGAAGAGAGCAGTACATCCCAAATGAAGAATTTCTGAATTCTGATCTTCTGGAAAAGAACACGTATCGGAAAATCTACTCCTTCACTCTTGAACCTCGAACAATAGAAGATTTTGAATCTGTGAATGTATTCCTTCAGGAATCTCCAGCATCTGTGTTTACAAGCAAGTCATTTTGTTCCTTGCAGACCCCAGAAGGGGTTCGCTGTCTAGTGGGCTCCACCCTCACCTACAGGATATTCAATTATAAGGACAACATGGATTTGGTGGAGTTTAAGACACTGAATGAGGAAGAAATAGAAAAAGAGCTGGAAAGTGTGTTTAATATTTCCTTAGAGAAAAAGCTGGTGCCCAAACATGGTGATAGATTTTTTACCATTTAGGTAGGCAGAAAAATGGCCTCAATATTACTTCTAGTGCTGTAACTTTTTATTACAAAATCTTTTGTTGTATATAAAAGTAGAAAGAATGAAATGATAAATGTCTGTTTATCACTTAGTTTATCAGCTATCAAGCAGTGACCTGTCATACTTTCTCAATGTTCCCACGTTATATTGAAGACATCAAATCATTTCACCCATAAAAATCAGCGTATATAATTAAATAACATTTAAAAATGCATAACCACATACCTTTTCAAAATTGATAATAGTAAAGATGTTTTAATGATGGTCTATTGTTTCCAGAGGAGAAATAGTGATTTATGCTAGAAAACCTTTCACAGTGGTTCAATTTTGATTTCATAGAATATGTTTATCCATGGTTCAGCCTATAGAACATAGAGGAAACCATTTTTCTTAAATACAACCAGTGTATGTCCAATGTCCAATTTGTACAGAAATTCCACATGTGTAATGGGATTACAATTCAACCATGAACAATGAGACATGACATTGCTTCCAAATAACCTAACAGTTCTCAAGACAAGGCATAAACCAATAACTTGTTAGCATGTGATTAAGTATCAAGAGAATGATGCAACTATTAATTTCTTATGTGGCTCTTCCTGTCAACACTGTTCTTCATGTACCATTTTTCTTAATTTGGGAGCCCTTAAATTTAGAATTTTTCAAATTTTGAATTAAATATCTTTGTCTAAATGTAATGAATATTGTGAATTTAAAAATACTTATTATCTGTAAAAACTTGATGTCTGAAAATTATGTTGAAACACTGTTGACCAGTAAAACATCAGTCACAAAGGTTTTGTTTGGCAGTCAGGGTATTATGGGGCTGGATCATTTTTCAGCAGCGGAGTTTTCCTTTCATCCTCTTTCTTGTCTCGCAGTTATATTCTTTTATTTCCCCTTACACTTTGTCATAAAGAAAAGGAGTATGAGCTTCGAAGTTTATATTTCTGAGTTCAAATCCTGTGGACCCTGAGAGAGTTACTTGACGAATATCTGGCCCCAATTCTTCAGGAATAATACTTACATAAGTAGGTGCCAGACTTAGAGAAAATTCTCAAATAAAACTTATTATATGGCTGAACAAATAATGTCAGTAATCATTGATACCAAGTCAGCATTTGACAAAAGGTCTTCCATCTTGCGTTATTTCCCTCCAAAAGTGTACCTCCTTCCACCTTGCTTTCTTCCTGGTCCTGAAACTGCTCAATCTGCCTGCTTCTTCCTTGATTGGACGTCAGTAGAATATTAGATGGCCCGACTCTGAGCGTGGCTTTGCTGTTCAGGGTTAGAATCTTGACTTTCCTACAACTCCAGCTTTTTACTTGTGAATTCCAGAATCAGGGCTATAATTTAAACTGAAGACTTGTTCTCACATTATTCTCTCTGTTGAACTTATGATTAGTATAATAAGGTTAAGAGACAAGCAAGGACTAGAATGGAGAAATATTAGTTGAAAGACTAATGACTTTGGGTCATGGGTCCTTCACGTACTGATGTAATACTTGGGGGATTCTGCTCAGGAGGGAGACCCACGGGAGATAGGAGACTTGGCCTGATGGGAAGGAAGGATAAAACCTACTTGTCAGCATCTGATGGCTTGTCATCTTCCTTATTGTGGGGTCCACAGACATCTGGCAGAGTCCTGCCCCAAGACCCCTCAGGGACCTGGACGCTGCCCTTTAAAGGTAACAAAGAACATTCCTTTTCTAATACATACCTGCCTTAGCTGAGATAATGGTCGTCTGTACAATGCCCCCAGAGGCCTGACCACCAGGACCCATCACAACCCCCTACCAAAATCCCCAGCCCTACCCTTTCTCCCTTTCTTGACCCCCTCCCTTTCATCTCAACATCAACCAGAGAATTGTGTACAATTCACACTGTGTGACCCCCTTTGGGCCCAATGTCACATAAGCGCAAGGAGCTAAAGGTTGCCCTCCCTAATAAAAGATCTGACCCTCAGAGCTCACATAGGCACCTCTTGTCTGTCTGCCCACTGCTGTCAATAACAGTACACCCAATAAACTCTTTTCTTATTTTCATCCTTTGTCTCTGATAAATTCTTTTACCACCTGCCCACCAGCCCACCAAATCCCACAGCACTTACCCTAGCTGGCGGGCCCTGCTCAGCTCTGCTGCTCTCGGGCAGCAAGGTTATGTCTGGTATTCTTGGGCAGAGACGGTCTTCTCACATTTTGAAAAGACGATGCTAGGGGAGGAGATGTTGGCAAGAGACATGGTCCAGATCAAAATGTGGCTCAAGGAGAAAGATGCAGTTTTGTACAACTGAGGCAAAGTCATATTACATAACTGTCAACTGAAATAAAATGCATAACCTAAAGCTTGAGAGTTATGTTTTATTTGGCAGATTCTCTTAGGACTCAAGCCTGGGACGCAGCATCTCAGATCGCCCTAAGAGGCTGTTCCAAAGTGGCAAGGTAGAAGCCAGGAGATGTGAGCTTTTACAACAAAGACCAGGTAGTCAGAACATCAAAGGATTGCTCTTAAATAAAGACAACCAGATCTCTCAAGTTAAGGACTCCAGTGCTTTTCTGTGTATGAGAAGGTGCAGAGGTCTGAGCTCATTGAAATCATTCCTTTGATGTGCACCTCGCTATCTGGGGCAAGTATCCTGTTTTTGCACGTCCTGAGTTCTCTCAGGAGACACCATTGTGGGGGGATGGCAGAGGCCGGGCTGCCTGCTTGTCTGCATCCTGAGTTCCCTCTGCTCACTGTCAGCGGGAGGTGGTAGCAACTGATGACTTCATGGCTGCACATCCTGTGTTTGCTGACATGGCTGCAATATTTTTCATTCTCAAAACAAATGGTACTGTGAAGGTCGGTACCTTATTGTAACAAATATCCTAAAACACAATGCAATTGTTTTCCTTGTATACATCTATGACATGGCGGGGGAAATGGTCAAAATGCATTGAAAGAGAGTTAGAGATACACATTTTAGCGGCCAATTTGAATAGGTGTGCCTTTCTGGACAATGTTAAGTTTCTCCAGTGAAATTAAAATGAGTGGCTTCTATGGATTAATGATTAGTGATCCTGATGAATGCCTTTTTGTTTGTTTTCATTTGCCACACACCTCACTGGCTTGCTTACCAACACTAGCTAGATATGGTCCCTTCTTTCATATCCAAACCAGAGTACATCTGGGTGTTTCTGGACTTTACAGAGCATGTATTGTTATATGAACCTAACCTACCTTGTTGTTTTCTCACAGTAAGAAATGTTAATCTATTTTGGTGATGTTTAAGAATTTTGATTCTGTTCAGGGAGTGAATTCACGGTATCATGACTTGATTTGGGCTTCACTTATTTCTTATCAGTAGTCCTACCTTTTGGATTTACCTAAATAAAACATTTCTTTAAAATAAAATCCAGAATCAGGGCTCTAATTTAAAGTGCATAATGATTAATGATTTTCTTTTAAATAGAGACTCTCTCTTGGTACCTGTAAGCTCAGGTACAAGGTGTTCCCACAAGCTGGCAGGCTGGCAAGGCCTCCGGGGCAAGGGGGCAGGCCCACAGCCTGGGCTTCTTGGCACAGATATAGAAAAAAATGAATAAATTATAGTGCTAATACTCAGGGACAATATAGGAATTATGATGCAAAATTCAACATCAGCAGACAACGGGCATGAAAGCCGCAGGAGCCACCGCTCGCCCCTGGCCAGCTGGCCCTCAGGGGCAGGCACATTGGACCGGGCTGGAGCTCAGAGCCTGCAGAGCCCTGCGAGTGGTTGGGGTTTGCTGCGGGCCCTGGGGCAGCCCTTGCCCTCGCTGGGGCGCCTCCTTCTCCCTCCTGTGCTGACGGGCTCTGAGCAAAGGCTGCGGCCTTGGGGAGGTGGGCGATGGGGCAGGAGATGATGGGAGGCACAGGGGGCTACGGAGGCCAACAGAGGGTTTGGTTACTCCTGCTGCTTAACGAATTGCCCTGAAATGTAGTGGTTTAAAACAACCATTTTAGTTTGCTCACAGATTCTCTAGGGCTGTAAATTAGGAAGGGCACAGAGGAATGACTCTTTTCTGCTCTCCAATGTCCAGTCTCCACTGAGCGGACTACAGTGGCTGATGATTATTTGATGGCTACATGCTAGAATCATCCAGAAGCATATTCCCTGGCATTGCTGGGCTGGGCCTGCAAGGGAGAACCTACATGTGGCTCTTCATGGGGTCTGGACACCCTCACCACACCACGGCCTCGGGGAAGTCATATTTCTAAACTGATGACTCAGAATTCCATGCATGAGGGCTCTAGCTTCAATAAGTGGGAGCTAAAGCATCTTTTAAAAAATTACAGTTTTCAGTTGAAGTGAAAATTGTGTAACATAAAATTAACTTTTTTTTAATTTTTAAAATTTTATTCTTTCTTTTTTTTAAAATTTTCTTAGAGGGGTAATTAAGTTTACTTGTTTGTTTGTTTTTAGAGGAGGCACTGGGAATTGACACCAGGACCTTGTGCATGCTAAGCATGCGCTCTACCACTTGAGCTATACCCTCCCTCCAAAATTAACTATTTGTAAGTGAGTGATCCATTGACAGTACAATCACAATGTTGTGTAGCCACTACTCCAGTTGTAAAACGTTTACATTACCTGGAAGTAAACCCTGTACCTGTCGAGCAGTTCAAATCACCTGTCATGTCCAAGCATCAAAGTCACGTGGCATCAGTCCTGCCACATTCTGTTGACTATAAGTAGCTTACAGTCCTTCTGGATCCAAGGGGCAAGAACTAGACTTCACTTCTTGACGTGGAAATGGAAAGGTTCAAGATTATCTCGGATGGAAGATATCCCTATGGCCATCTTTGGAAATCATACTCTGACACAGTCAACCTT